CATGCCTAACCATCGCCTCCCCCGACGGGCATTGCTAGCTGATATAGGTGCAGGTTGGAAAAGAGTAAGTGGTGGCCAAACAAAAACATGGCCTCATCAATCCATGAAATCCTTGACAGTTAAACTGAGTCAGGTAGGGAGATGCAGACTCCCGGGTTGGGGCCTCGGGACTCTAAGAATCAATGGCTGGAGACAATAGGTGACATGGCTCAAAATCGTTGTCAATGGCCAGTGCAGATGTATTCAGTCTCTGCAATCTTTCATATTCCTTTCTACCATTACCCATTCTGTTTCACTCTTATACTCGTGAAAAATCTATTGATTCTCTTCACTCATCTTCTTGTCTACCTTTGTGTGGTATTTGGAACATGGCAAGTCAAACTGCTGCACTTCGGTTCCAAGTTCTATGTTGAATCCAGACAGACAGACTGCCACTGATACTTCAAAACTTGAAGGTCTATGTTTCATTCGGAACACGAAGAAATTAAATAATAATAGAGTTTACGTAGTGTTACCTTTCCGTATGTAGAAAGGTAAAGACTTGAAAAGTGGCATACATAGACTTAACTCTTCTATAAAGTTTAATATTCTTTTCCTTACTTGTCCGGTAATTTATATAATAATAATATATTTATTTATTTCTGTCCATACAGAAGGACACCAATAGATGATTATTAAATTACATAAATTTGGTTCATGATGAATTTACATAGTTGCTTAAGTGAATTCAGAATTTCCCATTGATCGATTAGACCGAAGGGCTCGATAATTCCATATTAGTTTGTTTATTAGATATTATCACACAGTGATGAAACAGTATTATTTACTGGATGACAAAGTTTCGAACACCATTTATTGTTCATAATCATATTAATTATAATCACACGACTTCGAAAATGGAGTTTTATAGTTTTCTTTGTCTTCTTTTTATTTGTTGTCGTTGGGGTAGCAGAATTTTCCAGATATCTGCGACAAGTGTTGAATCATTCTTATTACACGTATTTGCAGTTGATTCGATAAACAAAGCTTCCGTTATCAATCTCTCCCTCCACCCTGTTACATTAGATTTTAAAACTGTCATCTTATCTCATACTATTGTAAGGTTGTATTGTGTGCTATAGTGCTATAGCTGAACTATTCTCTAGATTTCTTATCTTATTCGGGTCAGCTGATCTAGATTTTGCTAGGTTTTTATGCTCGACTAGTTTGACTGCCCTCTGTTCTACTACTTTTACCTGGAAAATTCTACTACGCCCATGACAAATGGGAGAGAACAAAGAAAACTATGAAACTCAAGTTTTTAAGTCGTACGATTATAACTAATATGATTATGAACAATAAATTTTGTTCGAAACTTTGTCATCCAATAAATAATACTGTTTCACTGCGTGATATGTCTAATAAACAAACCAACAGCGAATTACTTACTACCACATTGCCCAAGTTTTACACATGTTAATACGAAGTGCTCGACCTCAGGTTGACATGTCGGCTCCTTGTGCAGAGGTTTCAAAAATGTTTGACGATGTAACTGAAGGTCAATTGGTGGATGGTAACTAGCAATGGAATCCAGGATGCGCATTTCATCCTATTTGGAACCTCCACTCCCCAGTCAGTGAGTGACAGTGTTCCTACCGGGGCTCGAACCCAGTGCCCATAGTTTCAAACGCCAAAGTGTTATCCACTAGATCAATTGGGCCACAAGATTTTTATTAATTATTTGATTCAATTTTAGATTTTCCGGCGGGAACACCATCACTCACTAGAAAATGCAGGTATATCCACCAGGTGACGAGTCCCAAATAGGACGAAATGCGCATTTTCATAGATCCCACTGGTAGTCATCATCCACTAATTGTGACTTCACACTATATGGTTGCTGTTCATTTTGACTCTATTTAGTGGGAACTATCTGCTAACTAGTCATTCAATTGAGCATATATGGAATACAGAAATATTGTTACTACTAGCTTAGATGATTAGGCAGAAGGGTAAATTGTGAAGAGGCTTTTCTTACAGTTTAGTTTGAAACTGTGCTTGTAAATGCGTTTGCCTAGTTAAATAGATTTATAAGCATAAATTACATATAGACATTATCGTTCAGTTACGTTTTCTCTACTACAGGTGATTGTGTAGTATTCGATTTGTAATAAACTCTCCTCACCACTCTTTTTTCTGATTGAACACTAGTCAGTAACTAGTGTAATGTGTCTAGTCCTGCCTTTAGTGCAGACTGAATTCTATCAGTCAAGTTTGCAATGTGACCGCCAGTTGAAGTGAATATTTCTCATTCAGGAAACTCATACGTCATCATTGTTGGAGACAAGAGGAGGATCACCAGGAAATCCTTCTATGAAAAAAGCTTGTTCAGTGTGACTTTCCATATATTTTCTGACCTAAGTAATCATAGTAAAAAGGCGGTTTGTTCTTGTCTACAAAATGTCAGTGTCAACAATCATTTGCATTTCTATAAAATTGGTTAATGATACCTACGTAGCCTACATACCTACCCAAAACTTAGTAGAAGGGACAGGGTTAAAACGCGTGACGTAGTGGTTAGAAGTCGAACGCGTAGATCAATTAGCCTAGTTACTGGTGGTCCAAAAGTTTCAGGTAGTTAATGCTTATGACTCCATGTGAGACTTTTAGATCTCATGGTGGGCACGTTATAATCAAGGCACTGAGCTGATATCATTAATTACCCTCATCAGTGGTTCAGCGGTAAAACCAAGCATGCGGCCTAGGGTTTTGAATCCCTGCCAATGCACCTGTAAACCTCGCTAAGCCGGTAGTAAGACTGGTAAAGAAGGAAGGTTGAGCGTGAGACTAGTGACGCCATCCCCCGTAAAAATAAACACCACTGCTCTACTGAAACTTCCAAGCCCATGCTTGAAGCATTATGTTCCACCCGAAATGCAAAGGAATAAAATAGACAATTATTATTATTATTTCCTTTGATTCCTAGAGGGACATAGGGCTTCAGCCGCGCGTCTCCATTGCGTTCGGTTCTCTGCTAGAGTTTTCACCTGGCTCCAAGTCTGCCCACACACTTTCATCTCCTCTTCACGTGACCTCCTCCCTTGCACTGACGACCAATTCGCCGCTTGCCTTTCGGGTTCCACTCAAGCAATGGCTTGTCTAGTGATGTCACTTGATGGTTTGTTTTCTCAGAGTATGGCCAATCCATCTCCATTTCTTCCTGCCTATTTGTTTCACAATCGGTTCCTGGTTGGTTCACTCATTGCCAGAGATCCCTGTTGCTGATCTTTTCTGGCTGGCCATCTGATCTTGAGTATTGAGCGAAGACAACTGTTAATGAAGGTCTTTAGTTTGTTTGAGATGCTCTTCGTGACGCGCCAAGTCTCTGATCTGTACAGTGAGCAGCACTGACTTCACATTGGAGCTGAAAATCCGGATAATAAAGGATTAATTATCCAGTTGGGAATTATAATTTTGAAACAATTAGTTTTCTGAAGGCCTAAGTACGCGTATATTCCTTGATCTTTTTCATATCGTTCGACTGCAAGTCTTTTTTCTCACTTTGCTGTGTGTAGTTTATCCGTCTGTGCGTGCTTTGTTTGTTGTCGTGTTGTGTCTAATAATTTCAAGCGAAATAACAAACAGACATCAACATAGAACAAAGCATAACTATGCAGTGGCTCAAGGTGCAACACACTTTATATCTGTACACCTCATGTAGGTGAAGATGTTGAGAATCGATCAACTCGTCCAAAGTCTGCATGCATCTGAATCTGTTCTGTCGATTCTCGATCGTATATACATGATCTAACTAATCATTGGTTTTTGTGGTTAGGTACACTCCAGCTAGGTGCTATGTATTTCTGTTAAAACAACACAGGTGCAAAAGTGATGGTTTTTCATTTTCAAAATTTCGCCTCATACTCTTCTCATTATTATGGAGACATGTTGTCTGTTGGCTTAAACATTTGATGTCAGGGGTTCTCTAGCTGACATCATTCCGCAATCAAAATTGAAATAATTATATCCCTAAAAACTAACTTTTGAAAATTAATTTGTTGCTCGCTAGTCACCGCCTACAGGACAAAGTTGTCTGGAGTTCTAGTGAGAATTCATGACCAGCGGGGGGTCCACTGGGTCTAGAGTGAGGACAAATACACTCTGATAACATTGGCAGACGATCTTGCGCGGATCACGAATTGGCGGAAGCTGAAATTCACCGGTCTACGAGTTTGCTTTTTAACGGGTAGCTCCTGCGTTTGAACTCCATCGGGTGCCTACAGATGAGGAGTCCCAAACTAGGAGTAAACAGCTGTCTAGTTTCCCCTATTGGTTTTTTCAATGGTTCTCTAACTGACATCAATGCATGATCAAACTAGAAACGAATCAGTCTGTTTTAAATCTTCAGTTATTGAGTCTACTATACCACTGCTGTGTCAGGTGTAGTTTCAATAACCATTTCGTTTCTTATCGTCATAATTATGAAGAAAGATAAAGTAGGTGTGTTTCTATATACCACTGCCATCAGTTCTAATTTGTATTGGGTAAAATATGCAGCTGAAAACTATTGGAGATGTAACTCGTCAACTTAGACAGTGAGTGTACTTTCTCATCATGAATTATCGATTGTAGAGTTTACTCCATCTGCATTAAAGCTTAGATGGTAATGGCAGAGAACACGCTATTGCTAAGTTTCTTATCTTCGACAAATGGAATAAGCCTAAAGCCAGTCTAAGTCAATAGGTCAGCTGCATTTGCATCACATCTTCCTGATATTTTCATCCCTGTATTTCACTACTCTTCTTTCTGATACTCAGATATTCATACTTTCTAATCTTCTCAGTTATTACCTTGTATTATAGTGTGTTGTGCAGATATGAAGTGTGCCAACTTGTAACATTCTATGGTTTTGCTGAGCATTTCAATTGTGTTTTGATGTCTGCTTGCCTAGATAATCTAATTACCCTTAACTTGTCTTTATTTTTACTTTTTTTGTTGTTATTTTTGAATATTCTATCTAGAATTTCTTGAAAAGCACACTAAAAATGAAGTGACAACTGAAATGGTTCTAGAGCATTTACAAGGATCTGTTGGCAATATACTATCATCTGGAAATTGGCTTTGCAAGTAAATCTACTCTTAGTTTTAATTTTGATTTTCTTTCCTTTTGTTGTTGTAAAACTGTTTATGTGAAGTGAATGATGGCCATGGTCAGGAGATCAGCTTTGTTCGCTTTCGGAAGTGTATTTGTGTGTGTGTGCGTGCGCTTGTGAGTGGTTATTACTTATCAGTTGTCGACAGTGTGAGAAAGAGCACTAGTGAGGTGCATGACCTCAGTGCCCATGGGACAACTGTTTGAGGCCCGACTCACACACACAAGGCCTGTTTGAATCAACCTTTAAAATTGTGTGCGTATTGAGATCTTACTATGGACCACCGCAAGGTGTTAAGTCGAGATTTACAACTTTTGCGGTTAACCTTTTCTCCTCTCCTCTCCGGGTCCCTAAGAGCGGAGATGCAGCATAGCTGCCATCCTGGTTACCTGAGGGGAATTGCTTACTGTTGTTGCATCCAGCAGTATGATTTTGCTCACACGCCTAACATAATGGGAACGACCTACACAATGACGGTAACTACTTTTGATCTAGTCGCTATCCGAATGACCTTTCTAGCAATGGTAGAACGTGTAGGGGGACAATAATTCCAACCAGTGTGGCTCATTGCGTCATTACGATATATACAAGCCTGGCCACCACATAAACGTAGTGGTTGTCAATTGAGGATGTGTTGAAGTTACTTTTTGATTAAAAAGGTTGTCAGTCAAACCTATAAAGAAATTTTTGGTGACGGATCAATAAATTCATTCCGATTATAAATACTTTAATTACTGAAACAAATAGAATAGTTCACATGCTTGTTCTAGCATTGTTTGTGCATGTATGTGTGTGTACGTATGCGTTCATGTGCACATTATGATGCCTTTTTTTTGGTAAATTCTCTTACAAGAGAAGAAAACAGAAGTTGTCAAAGATACACTCTCGTTTCAGACAGAATAACCATCTTCATGTTTTCTCTGAGAAATTCATCTGGCTTTTCGAAGAAGTATGTTTAAGCAGAGATAGGTGTTAAATATGTATGTCTTCTTGACTGTTGACTTGTCAAAAGTGATTTTATCCACGTTGCATACCAACCGCTCTCATCAACCAGGAGTGCTTGCTAGCCCACCAGATCAAAGTTATCTAAAAAGTGGACTGTGGCTGTTTCACTCGTTTAAAGGCAAGCTCATCAGTACTGTGCTTGATTTGACTGAGCTCAAAGAGCCGGGTCCAGTGGAAACCAAACTAAATTCTTATTATGAGATTTATGGCAACTTAGATTAATCTAATTTCAAATGTTAAATTTCGACATGAATTAACCTCATTTCGTGAGGTCATTGGAAACTGGGAAGTACTGGACAGTTCTTTCGTTCTATTTTGGGACTCTTCATCAGTGTGCGCCTACGACCACCTCTTCAAGGGCCAAACCGTGAACCTTCAGGTTACGAGATCGAGTTTGTTAACCATTCAGTCACTTCGGTTGGAATTCAGTGGCCCGTAAATTGTGATTTTATCGATTCTTGGTACAGTACTGCTCTCTCACCAACGTCTTCGATGAGCATCCATTTAACCGTTGACATGGAGGATCGTACTAGTCACGACTTCGCAATATACAGCTTAAGGCCATTCATCCAATAGCTATAAATAATCTGGAGATCGGTATTTAAATTACGAGATTTGTAGGAAATTGGATGGATTTGACTTCTGTTGTTAGATTTTGTCACAGATCGATATCATTTAGAGAGATCATTGAAAACTAGAAGGAGAGCACTGGGTAGTTGTGTTTTTACTCCTTAACTTCTGGCTGACTGCTTAAACCGACTGGTAATACGCATAAATCAAATTTGAAATTTTCAAACTAATCCCACGGATTGACCGACTGAACGATAGATGGTATCTCCGGTGTTCAGATTACTCTGATATGGTTAGCAAACACTACTGATTGGTTGATGTGAGTAGTATACAACTACTCATTGCAATCACTCAGCAGTAGTAGTATGTGGTGTCGTGTCAGTATTTTTGATTTCCAAAGGATACTGTGGTGAAATTTCACCTCTCTTGAACTGTGTAAATTGCAAATTTGATTCAACGTTAATACTCCGTGTTTAAATGTAAGCGTGATATATGATATATATCCAACTGGCATCAGAAAACCTACCTCATTAATAATTTTGTTAAGTAACTTTCTTTTGGAAGAGTTTAAGTTTGTTATAAGAATAATGTTTTCGGTCTTAATACCTTTTTTTCAACATATTAGTACTGTGTAAAGTAATTACTGTGTTCACTCAGAATAATAATAATAATAGTGATTATAACGTGACGTAACACTCTTGACTGACTAACAGAGTTTCAACGTAGAACTTTGCACAGAAAGGCAGCAGTGCAAGCTGCTATAGTCCATATATAGCACACAAACGTAGGCAAAAGAAAGAGAAAAAGGGGATTCGAAAGAATTATAATCATCAGAGTGCGTCGGTGGCACAGCGGTTTGGACGCTCGCCGACCATGCACATGGTCTGGGGTTCGATCCCCGACCGACGCACTCCTTTACCTCGCCAAGCCAGAAATAATGCTGGTAAAGAGCATAGGTTGGGCAGGAGGCTAGCAACCCCATCCTGTAAAATTAAACACTGCTACACAAACTTCAGACCACTAGCTTGAGGCCCTATGTTCCACTGGGAACGTGAAGGAAAAAAAATAATCAGCAGAAACGTGCAGGAGAAAAAATAGTAACATGAGGGTTTAATGAATATTATTTTCGTTGTTTCCTTGGGTTCCGAGTGGAACAGGCAGCTTCAGCAACACACTTCTCCACTTTGTTCTATTTTCTGCTGTCCTCTTTAGCTAAGTCCACGATTGCTCATAATTTCTCATCTCTTCTTCACACGATCTCCTCTATGTGTCACCCTCGAATTGACGACCCACTCGTCGTTTCCCATTTGAATTCCACTCGAGTGATGGCCCGGCATGCGATGTCATTCAGTGGTCCCCTCAATGTGTACATATGTGTGTGCCTAATCCATCTCTATTTCCTCCTACATATAGGATATGAGAGACTTTGAAGAGTGAATGCATCTGCTCCATTGAAAACAGTTGCTTCTTAGCATCCCGAGTAACCACAACTAGCCTGACAGTCCACACCTTACTTATGTGACTGGCTCTACCTAACCAACTGCCACCGACTTGATAAACTGATGCCAGGTTCTTTGATCTCATCACGCCTAATTCTTTTCCAACTTAATCCTATGTCAGATTGTCGTTTTCTACATTTTCATTCAACGAGTGTCCAATCCATCTCCACTTTCTCCCGCATATATGTTGGTTGGCGATCGGTTTTTGTTTCTTTTGTTCCCATAGTGTCTTGTTGGTGATTCCTTTCGGCCCGGCCATCTGATTGATCTTCAGTATAGAGCCAGCGAAGAGAGTTGTTCATAAAGGTCTGCAATAGCCTGTCGGAAATATTCTTTGTGACCCGCCCGCCAAGTTTCTGATCCGTATAGAAGAGCTGACTGACTTGACGCTGTTTGTATTGAAAATCCGACCGAATTTTGTTGTTGATATTGAGTGAGTGACGAAGATTTCCAGATGGGTTTCAGGTTGATGAACAATGTGTTTCTCGCTCGCCTTCCTGATTCTCGCTCGATATGACATCCTCGTCTGTTCCTCCTGTAGTAATACAAAGGTGTTAAATCAGTCATCAAGCTATCCATTCAAATTCATTCTTAAGTTATAGACGTTGGTGGCTAATGTGAACATGTCAATCAATACCTCGTGTATACTAAGATTGTGGATCGAATAACAGTATACCAAACCTCCAGGCGTCAATGTTTCAGTCGAGAAATTCTCGCCAAACATACATATGGCCCCGAGTCCCTGGCCGACGCAGTCTTAAACCTCTCATAGCCAGTAGTAAGTAAGGTTTAGGTTGGGCGTGAAGTTAACAACCCCACACTCCGTAAAAAATAAACACCACTGCTACTGGAACTTTAAGGCTCAAGCTTTTAGTCGGTATGATCCACTCGGAACACAAATAGCATTAAATTATCATGATGATAGTCAGTGCAAGACTATCTCAAATAGTGTCGCCATTAATTAATAACTTGCTGACATCTTTCTAATCGCATTTTGATTAAGATTGATACAAGAGCTGAAGCCGAAAATTTCCATGTGGTGTCTATTCCAGTGGACTGATAACTTGTTTAACTTACTTTGTCCTCTTAGCCTAGTTGGTAGAGTAATGGATTTCAAGCATTGTTTTATGTTATTGATTTCGAATCTGTAATGTGTAAACAAGTATATTTCAAGTGTTATGTTAACCTGCATAAATTTTTGTACAATGTGAAAAGAAAAAAGAAAATACCCTTCGAAATTATTTGCAATTATTTTTATTATTCCACTGAGTTCGAAATGGGATATAAGGCTTCATTAGCACATGTCCATTTCATCCTGTTCCCTGAAGTTGTTTTTAACTAGTTTCATGACTGCTCACATAAGCTTTCATATCCTCCTCATTCGATCTCTTTCATGTGTGTCATCTTAGGAACGATGCCCAACATGTCGTCTTGCATTCGTTCGTTGTAAGGGTTCCTCGATGTATATCCTCCTTTCTGGAGGACATCCTCTCCCTGAACTTCCTTATCGAACCAGCTAAGGCAGCTATTGGTGCAAGCCGATAGTAGCCTGTTGAAAGTGTTTTTCGTGACGCGTACGCCCAAATCTCTTAACCGTATAGTAGCTCTGACTACCTTGACATTAGTGTTATAAATCGGAATCTTGTTTTTTATACTTTGTGCAGTAGTAGTAGGCCTCCACACTGATTTCAGACTGATGAAAGCCCGTCTGGGTTGATTTTGACATCGTCATCTGTGCCGCCTTCTGTAGTTGAAACCATTCTGCCTAGGCTAAATAAGTGAAATGAAGTGACTTCTGTTAGATTTTGTCCTGTTGATAGTGATTGGTACTTCTCCTTGTTGTTGTCGTTGTTAGCGGTCGGGGTATCTTCATCATTTCTGTCTTCTCTATGCCCGACCGATAACTCCTACCTTGACGTGGTGGTCGGGCTTGCACATTGCGATAACACAACAAGCTACACTGGCTGGAACCAATATTCCTGCAGGTCCTACCATGCGTGGAAGGTTGTTAGGATAGCGATTAGACTAAAATCAGTTACCGGCATTGTATAGCCCACACATTTACAAAAGCACAGGTAGCCTTCCTGAGCATCATTCTCCTCTATACACATCACCTTCATCATCTTATTCCCCTACTTTAGTTAGTAGTATTCGTCAGGTTAGTGAGGCATCTTCACTTCATTCTGTGATCACAAATAACGATGAGAGCCATAGAAATACCCCAGATAGCCTTTTAAAGCCACGTCGCTAACTTCATCTAGGAGCATTTAACGTCAGGACCCTCTGCCAAATCGGACAACAGGCATCACTAGCAAGAACTCTGGCATCTCGAGCCATAGATGTATGTTGTGTTTCAGAGACACGCATACAAGACCCGAGTGTGGTCATTCATATAACCTCACCCGGTCAACAAGGTGAATCTGCAAAATTCACCTTGAGGGTGTCAGGAGACCCCTCAGCTAGCTCGCGAGGACTTGCAGGTGTAGGGATGGCACTGAGTGTTAGGGCAGAAAAATCACTTGTTGACTGGATCCCAGTAGATGTATGTGTGCCGTCCCTCTGAGTGGGTCCGTTAAAAGAAGGAAAGACGGCACTACCCGTCGTTGCCTTTTCATAGCAGTCTCCTCTATGTTCACCTCGCCTGAAGAGTGTTATCTTAACTACCTGCCTTTTCAGCCAACTTTTTGATTTTTGCCTGTAAATCTCCGAGTTTGTATGACATTAGACATAAATCACACACGAAGTCCAAATCTTACAGATTATCCTTGTCGGTCCAGCGTATACCTATATTCTCACTTCCCAATGGCCTGCTTTACGCTCCAGTCCACCGCAGTAGAAAGTACATCATAATTGATAGTAGACAGCCTTGTCTTATTCTTGTCTTCACTTTAGAGGCTTTGTTAAGCTTTCCACTATGAATCACTTGGTATATATGTCTGTTAAATGAGATAGTGGATGATAAAGACTCAAAGCACTATGTCATGCTGGAACCTTTTACTAACATACCTTTATTATTAGGAGTTGATCGCGGATTGATATCAGTTAGAAAACAATTGGAAACCAGGGAATGCTGGACAGCTGTTTCATCCCACTAGTTTGGGAATCATCGGCAGTACGCACCCACTAACAGGGTTCGAACCTAGGACCTTCCAGTTACAAGGCCAGCAAGCTCGTATACCATTCAGCCGCTAGGACCCTATTCATTGGCCAGTCCATGACTTCTAACTTCTACCATTTCGTGATTTAGCGCGACTCCAATCAATGCCGTCAGTGGGACATCCATCCTCACACGTGACATCTGGATGGACCTCACTGGTCCTGACTTCTCACCTTTATTAATTTACAATCATGCATACCTAATGTTACAGTTACATAAAACTTTTGTTGTTTGTTTTTGTCTTTTTCATTGATTTAATCTAGGATTGGTAAAATTCAAGAACTGATTGATTCACATCGTCTTGCTTGTTCAAATCGAGGATCGCAACAAAACCGATGATCCCGTCAACATCAACACCACCACTACCTTCTTCTTCTTCTCTTTCTTCTTCTGCTCCTGCCTCATATATGATTTTCGCTTTTCTGTATTTCTCAATCTCTCTCTCTCTCTCTGTCTTCTGTGAAACGATGTATTCAAATAATCTTTCTCTTTGTTTTTCATCTAGTTCATGATACACATGCACGCACGTACTCGCGCACACACTTGATGAGTAATGCCCAAATTCCCTACTAATCTAGTCGTTGGTTTGACAACTGGATTGATTGATGATTACCCGACTAATACATACATCTTTAATGATATAACCAACCTATCTTATCCTTTTGGATGTGTATACACATACAACATTATATACAATACGTCTTATCTAAAATATTTCTCCATCCTTCGCGCATATGTGTACACGCGTGCTCCTCGTATACATGCTTACAACATACATATATATATATATATATATATGTGCATTATGTGCTCAAGATCTTATTTTGCTTCATTCATTACAATTGATTATCCTTCTTCTCTCTTTTTTGTCACTTAGCACATACAGAGTATTTTGTATATGAGCATACTTTTTTGGTGTTGTAAAGTTTGTGTGTGTGTGTGCGTGTGTTGTGTGTAAAATCGCCTCAGTGTTCTTTCTCATCACTGTATTGCTGTTGTTGTTGTTGTTGTTGTCGACGATGACGATGAAGAAGAAGAAAAACAAACAAAACGCTATCTATCCTCTTCTGTCGATCCTTCGACTTCCACGCCACCACCACCCCCACCATCTCTGGTTTCTTTTCAAAGTTTCTCCATCCCTATATACTACCCATGTATGTATACACAATTCTATATATATATATATATATATTCTCTTTATTTGTGTATGATATTTCACTATTTTCTTCTAGTTGATTTGCATTGGTTGATGAACTGTAATCTTTCTCTCTCTCCCTCTCATTTCACTAGTGTTATTCTGAGTATAATTTGTCATTTTTATCACTTCAGCTGATTATTAGAAATGAAAAGACAACAATCTATAAAGTGCATTTATTTTTAGTTGAAGAAGAAGCGAGAATAATTGTCACCATCGTCATTGTCTGTGTGTGTATTTCTGTGTTGTCCTCCCGTTGTGGAGCTCCTTCTCTTCCTCCTCCTACTATCGCTCTCACCATCACTGTCTATCGTAGCTTCTTGTGCTTTTATCTCCTTTTTTATTTTGAAAACCTTCTCCTACCTTCCCCCCTCTCTCCACGCCAAACAGTTGGTGAATGTGTTGTACTCAACGGTATTTGTTCTTATGTCTCTTTTCGTTTTTTTGTTGTTTTTGATGAGACAACGATGACGACGACGTCGCCGCCATCGCGGCCGACAACAACAAGGAATAAACTGGAGGCATATAACATAGTATTATTATTATTATTATTATGCGTTGATCATCTTGATAATGATGATAATAATTTTGATGTTGACGATTATATCAGTAAGTAATCCGGTGTAAATTCTCCATTCTAAACTACTCACTGATGCTTATCACTTTATTATTATTATTATTATTACTATTATTACTTTGATGAAGTGGACAAGTTAGCTGAAAATATCAACACTCCTAAAAGAATACCATCCTAGAGAAATAGACTCATACTACTAGGTTTATATTTCTGTGCAAAGTCCCATTTTCTGTCTTTACTTTCCGTTTATTCTATTTTCTTGTGTTTGCCCTCCCTCGGGTTCTCTCTCTCTCTGTTTGTCTCTCTCATCAGCAGAATCTGTACAAGGCATGTTTAACAATTTGTGTATTATTATTACTATTATTATTATTGTTTAATTTCAGTGAATTAATTAATTAAATAAAATTAGATTCATCTGTCATTTTTAATATCTTTGTATTATCTTGAAAATTAATCTAATACTCAATTAATGACTGATATAATAAGACGAATTTTTAGTGTAACAAGTTGTGACTACTGTGATGTGGTCCACTAGGTCGATTATGATGACAAATGCACACTCTAATGATTAGACATTGGTTGCCGGTGGTGGTGCTATGTACAATTCATGGATCATTAACTTCCGGCTGAATGTTCAGTGAGATCGCCTGGTAATATGAAGTTCTTGGGTTTTACCGCGTGTAAATGGGGGTCGTAAGATGAAGAGTCTCAAGTAGGCAGCACGAAATAGCTGTCCAATAACCCACCCCCCTAGTTTTCAATGGTTCTGTAGCTTCACTTCTTAGATTTCTTCACGAACCAACACCATTTGGAGACATGATTGATAACTAGGGACCACTGGGCAGTGCACACTCACGACCTCTTCAGCGATGATCAAACCCGGAACCTTCAGGTGTTGAGACCAGCCTGACTGATCCTTCAGTCATTTGGGCTAGGATTCAGTGACCTATGGATTCTAACGTCAATTCTCTGTCTACCTTCATCGGTGCCTGTGATGAGCATCCACTTGATTTCCAGATATGGTGGACTGCACTGGTCATTGCCTCTCACTATAGGTTCATGACATTCGTTAAGCTCTCTTAAATGATATCAGTCTGTGTTATCAAACTTGAGACAGAGAGTGGAAGACGTGAAAAGGCTAGCTGTCGTTGATCATAGGTGTCTGAGTTCTATCTCCCGTGTGAAATGGTATAATAGGATGAACAATATTGAGGTTACTCATCATTCGAGTGCTAGGTAAAGAGGGGGAATCAATTGGCGAGATTGTGAAGTCACATCAATTGAGATGGTTAGGATATGTGTTACGCATGCCTAGCTATTGATCACCTTCCTCGACAATGGGCAATGTCAGCTGACATAGGGTCAGGTTGGAAACTAAAACATGGCCTCATCCGTCAATGAAATCCACAACAGTTAGTTCAACCCACATAGGAAGGTGTAGACTTCCTGGTTGGTGTCCTCAGGACGGTAAAAGCCAACAGCTGGAGACAATTACTGATATGGCTCAAAGTGATCGTTCTCAATGGCTAGCGCAAATGCATCCACTCTTTGTAACTTATAATACCCAATAAAACTATATTGTTCTTGGATATTACTATTCATTTTGCCTTATATCTCTGTTTACTATCCCTATTTTGCGTTTGTTTTTACTTTCTTCTCTTGCTTTGTGTGCTGAGTGAAGTGTGGCGACTCGAACTGCTGCACATCGGTGCGAAGTTCCATGCTGAGACTAGTCAGTTAGAAACTAAGTCAATCCTGACAAACTAACACGTTGGAAGAGACATGATTTTATTGTGCATTATCGATAGTCATCATAGACAAATGTGTTAATCACTTTAGGTAATTCACTGATGTTTTTATGAGTATGTCTTTCAAATGCGAAAAATTTGGTTGTATCCAGTGTGAACAGGAGTGTTCTAGTCCCATCCTTCGAGTTCCGACCAGACATTCAAAAAGTATTCATTCTAGGAAATTATGCATGAAGTCGAACAGTGTTGTCCCTAAGAAATATCCTCTCCCCGACTGGAGTTTCCAGTGAATACCATACATTCTCCCCTCCCTCCGTCTATTAGGTGAAGGGAGGGGGATTATAAAGGCTCATGTGTACTAGATTTCAAAAATCCTGACTTAACCGTGATGATTTTCACTGTTTGCTATTTTAATTCATTTCCTGTACGTAGTGATTACAAGTTAGTAGTATATATGGGTCTGAGAACATTAACCTAGTTATCATATGTTTGTTCTCCTTTTTCCGACAACCTTCTTGATTAATTTAGCATTACCTTCTTTTTACTGACTCTTCCTTTGATTCTTTGTGAAATGTAGTAAGGGGAGTCGTGTCACCGCCTTTATTCTAGATTTTATTATTTCAACGGAGTCCTTCTAATCTAGATTTCTTTGGGTCTCTATGATTGCATTCAGTGTATGGTATGGTATTAGATAAATTATTTTGTTAAAACAGACTCCATGAAATTCTCTTGTTGACAAAGATCTCTTCTAAGTCTTTGTAAATAATCTACATTCAAAAAAAGTATTGAACAATTTCACTTTATAACGATAGTCCGTATTTATTGCTTGTTATGCATACTCTGAGTTGGTGAGTAGTCACTTTCACACAGCTGTGTGTGTGTGTGTGTGTGCGGTGTTTAGTCCTTCCGATATCTGTATGATGATTTGGCTCTCTCTCACCGTCGTCGCCAATATGTTATAATGTCGCCACTTTTATATTTTGCAATACGTTGAGCTGATTAATGACGCCCGGCTAGACACGGATGCGGTGATTACTCAGTCGCTAGGTTATACCAACAATAATACTGTTTCCCCAGCCCGCATTACTGAAGCATGAACACACAACGATGTGAGATGGGAAGAATACTTCAATATTAGTCAGAAAATGTTTACAAAGGTAACGATGCTTGAGGGAAGATAATCATAAAAGGATAATCCATTGTTTATCAGTTTACATATCAGACTGAAAAGTAAGTGATCATGGCAACTGCCTCAGCTATGCTTAGCAATCGAAGGTGTACAAAGTTAAGGAACTGAGGGGTCACTTCGCATGGAATTGTTAGGGCTGAATTTTTATTAACCTTGTTCTCCTTATTCACAAGGTGTGTGAATATGGAACTCCTGATTGACTATAAGACTTCTTTACCTATCCACGTTGAATAATGCTCGAGAAAGAGATAGGGGGCTTGTCGAGTCGTTCTACGCATGAAAGTGTCTCCACAAGGAAAGTTGAATTTATAAATACACATTGAATTGCAGACATTTGGTAGCTTATCCTACACCTCTGTTGGAATTTGTTATATACTGCTGAGTGGTTAATAGTCCTGACGCGGAAAGAGGAAAATCAGAAGACCACCTCGTTCACGATGATACTTGTATTTTCCAAACGAGGAAAATAATGACTGACACACACAAGTGTGAGAGTGAAGGGTACGTAGTATACGGAATGTGTGTGTACAAGTGTACAATACAAATGTATATATGAAAATGACCAATATACATGAACCAATAGATAGATAGTCTTACCATGATTGGTTGTAATCTCATGTGACAAAAAGG